GGACGATAGACCCTCTGCAGCAATCATTGAGTGAGTTGGTGATGTTGAAGGAGCGAATAATTAGGCGGGTTGATTGAAGTTGAAATGAAAGTGGTTCAGCTATTTGTCTCAACGAACGAAAAAAATACAAAGGAACATGTGCCAGAATAGAAGGACATGGAATCAAACCAGTGACCTTCCGAATGGTTATAGGACGATAAGCACAGTAAATCGGCCCCAGAGATGTATCTGGATTATTTTTTGAAGGTATATTGGTACTAATGAGATACGTTAATCCTCAGAATCTAATCCTCTATCTATTTTGGTTTTTGAATAAATCCAAGAAACGGAAAATCAGAACGGTTTTGAATGATTATTATAAATATTATGAGCTGTTATTTTTTCCGAGTAAAGCCCCTACATGTCTCTATAACGTGTTTAAATTTCATTTAAATCGGTTGTCGTTTTTGAGAAAAAAATATTTTCTGATTTTTCGCTTTTTGGATTTATTCAACAACCAAAACAGATAAAGGTCTAAAATTTTCAGGATTAACGTATCTCCCCTCTGGGGCCGATTTACTATGCGTATCGTCCTATGGCCTTTATTTCTGAAAGTAGCTTCAGCTTCATATGTACTATATTATACTTCAACATACACAATTTTTTTGTACACGTGTATGGCATAGCATACACCTTTTGATTGACATATTTCGCTTTTGTTGGTGACTTTTTTGTGGTTTTGGATATACATTTCAGCAACCGTAATAGCTTTTGTTTTTTTTTGTATGAAGCACGTACGACCTTACTCAGCGGTTTTTCAATAACTACTTTTAAACGTATTTAATCGAAATCTGTTTCTTAGATCGACGCAGCGATTGAGAAAACCTTGTTGAATTTTAAAGAGGATAACGCTAAAATGTTATTCTTGTATCCCCAATGATTTCCAAACTGAATATTCTGCATAATGCTGAATTTAAATCGGGCGGTGAACCGCGATTCTGGATTTTCTTTTCGATTTGATTAAAGCAATCGCAACTTTCCGCATATTAAAATTTGAAGAAAGATTTCAACTACTCGACTGCTGCATATCCCTAAATCGTCTATATCATTTAAATAACATGTGAGTAATTCTCTTTGATAATGGTTTAGCAGCCGAAACAATTGTTAGAGTGTTCTAAATAAACTGTGAAACAAAAGTGTTTTATTTCTTATATCTTATTAAATATGTTTCACCAAGTGCCTAGCCAAGAATCAATTTCTTACATAAAAAATAAAAAGGTGTAAAAAATTCTACAATTACCGAAGTCTTTTATATTGCTACCTTCACAATTTTGTTGTCAGTTATGTTAATAGTTTTAAAAATTATCCTGACGAAGCCGATGGTCCTGTTGCCTTGTCAGAAACTGTATGATATTGTTTAATTAGTCGAATAAAAAAATTGGTACAGGTCGACACAAATAGGAATAGGTGTCAATTGTTTCCGCCTATGGATGCGTGGTAAACTAAATGCTTGTGTAAGCGAGGGAAGTCACTTCTGTTGGACCTTTTGACGAGTTAACATTCCACAATTACTCCTGTTGGTTCTTGTTAGTTGTGTGTTTTTATCGTTTTTGCCATTGTTATTGGTTTTACTGTTGTTATTGTTATTACGGTTTGCTTTATTGAATCCACACGTGCTTTTCTTTTGTTTCAGTTCGAGCTGCAAAAATTTTTTTTATTTGTACTCAATTATTTCAAAGCAGTCGACAATTTGATTAGCAATTCACAGGGGTCGCTTTTCCATGTTTATTTGAGACCTGCGAGAAATCTTTCTTACTTTATCGTCCTTTTTCCTCCGAATACTTTCGTTGTCTTTTTTCCGCGCATAAACGTTGCCAACAGAAACTTCTTCCTATTCTCGTGAAGCTGTACATGCTGCATATACATCTCGACAATTATGTACTAATAATTACAAACCAAGACTATCTTTATACTAGCAAGACCGAATATGCAAGAGTAAGACTAAATACGCAGAAACTAAACACAAAAATGCCCTCTGAACAGGGCCGGGGTGCAGGGGTGTAAATACACCACGAGCCAAATGCATCCCGAGCCAAATGACTCAAAAAATGTGAAAAAAAAGAGAAATTAAAAATTATTTTTTTTAATAGTTTTCGAATTTGTTATAAAAGGAAAACAAAAAACAAACTATAAAAATATTATTTATAAAGAAACGTTAAAAATTTTTTTTAGAAGAATTAAG